CTGATTAAAGCATCGGCTAAGCCGATAACCAGAAATTCTGAAACCGGGGATTACGCACCCTGACTACGAGACTAGGCTATACTGATTTAACGCGAAGCGGCAATTATGTGGACGCTGGCCCTGACTGCAGGCTCGCGGATGTGCGGGATGCACACTCTCCAGCTCTGCTCTGCTCCCAGTGGTTTCCGATCCGGAGGGCGGGAGGGAGCGCCCTACCGCCTCGCCTCCCCGCCCCGGGCCCGCTCACTGGCCGCCGCCGGCTGGATACACAGAAAGACCCCGCCCCGGCCCTGCGCCCAGGCCGGCCCTGGCCCCACCCACTGGTCACCAAGCCACGCCCACACGCCAGTGTAACCCCGCCTTCTCCGGTGCGGCCGCCGCTCCGCCACGCCCATTAACCAGTCCCTGACTGGATGAGCACGGGAGCCTCACTGACTTTCCCTCCAGGTCCTTCGAGGCCGCCACTCCCTTCCCCTCCTCGACCACTGACCTCAGCTCTCCTTCAGTTCTGCATCCGAAAGAGTTGCTTCGAGAAAAGGCTTCCCGCCCCACATCCTCAAACCCTCCAGCTAACCCCACGGTTTTCCCAGCCCAACGGGGGCGGGCAGAAGCGGTGACGAGGCACTTTTTGCCACGAATGGGAGGGGAAATGAACAGACCCCTGCGTCCTAGTGCGGATCCGTTTTGCAAAGGCAGTGGGGGCGCCGGCTGGGACTAGGGCGCGGTTCTGGCCGCCGCTGCGACCTCCGCTCCCTCCGGATCCTGTGGGTTTGGCAAAGCAGCTGGCAGGGGCATAAAGGCCCATTAGCAAAGGCGAGGTTGGGGCGTCGGGGTGGTGGTGTGGGGGAAAGGCCTTCTCAGCTGCCACAGTCTTGTGAGCAGGTGGTCAGCACGTGCGGGAGGGGTTGGGGGTGGGAGAGAAAGGGGAGAAGGAGGATTCTAGCAACAGATGGCCCGTGCAGAACTGAGGCTTTCAGACAAGAGGGTGGGAGGGGGCTGGCCATCTGCACCTGGAGGCCGTTCTTGTCCTAGCCTCCTTCCCCTCTACCCCAGCACAGAGAAAAGAGCTGGAGAAGGGGAGGTTCTCTTTTATTCAGACTGAAGGTTCAAACACCCCCAACACAGAGGATGGGCAGGGAGAAGGCAGCTGGTGAAGGGGTGAGGGAGGCTGCCTCCACCAACCACCACCCCTCCCCTCTCATTGGCCAGATCTGTGGGAGACCTGAGGCACGGGTGGAGGGCTCCCCTCTAAATGATTCTGCATCTCCACTTTGGCATGCAGAGAGCCTGCAGCTCTCTCAAATGTTGGCAGAAAGAAATCAATCCCTGGAGTAGAGTTCCCGGATGCCCACTGTGGGGTGGGGAGAACGGGATATGGGAGTGTGAAATGGGGAGTTCCCTAGCCCCAGGGTTCCCCAGTCCCCAGGGAAGGGTGCTAGGCAAGACTGGGAAGCCTGGGTGGGGTCCCCAGACTAGAGCAGAGTGGGAAGGAGGCATCTCAGGGAGG